GAGTGCCCCTTTTTGTTAGTATTGATGGATTTTATACAATTCGTTTGAAAAAACACCATCCTTTTCGATTACGATGGCTCGGACCCTTTCTAGAAGTTATTTTATTATTCGTGATGTAGTGTTAGTGGCAGTTTCTACAAGGAAGAAATTTGATCAACGTACTGGTAATAGGCTACGATAAAGCTATTTGGGTATTTCAAATATTGGTATAATTTTAAGGTTTTTAGAAACTGACATATGTCATCCCTTTAAGTGAAACTTCTGTGGATCTAATTATTTTTGTGAAATAGAAAGGAATTACTGAAGCGTATTGCGAATTCTCCAGGAGGTAAGGTTTAGTTTAACTGGGCATTATAATGCAGGTATTTATTGAAAACGCAATTTAAAATGTAATGAAAAGATATGAATGATTATATTACAATTTGCTTTTAAATTTATGACTACATTGTGTGCTTAAAATTATGAGTCCTTCCCTGGGATCTACTTCTTAACGCTTAGTACATAAGATCATTTGGGAATGAAAAAAATACTCTACCTAGTCACCATTCAACTATTCAACCATTTAACTAGTCACCATTCAAATAATCACCTTGCTGGGCAACGTTAAGCTATCTGAAATCATTATAGAACTTCAGAAAATCGTTCCAAGGGATGGGACAAGCAGTTCACATGGTTTTTTTGCAATTTGGGCCTTGGAATGTCGCCAACTACACCAAGGTCAGAAATAATCGTTTAAGCCTCCCTTGTCCTTATCAGCAAGTTATCAAAAATATCGTTTTTACCTCTCGGTTACTAGATTATAGAAGGGGACGCTTTCAAAAATCGGGAAACCTTCTCGAAAATCGTGTCATTAAGAATGTTTGTGAGTACTAAAATCAATTCAAGAACAAAGTTTAAAAATATAAACTGAACATATTTCGTTCTTTCCACAAACAGTTGGCCTTATCACTTTGTCTCAAAGTATAGACTTAAAATATGATGCTACTGAAGTCATGTCACTAACAATATCGCTTAGATTAAAATTGACGACTTAGAGGGAGAGGTATACACTTTATTTCGACGGTGACAATCAAATGTTTCAGAAAACAATAACTCCATTCACTTAGCCCAAGGAATAAGTTAATAAAATACTCAAAATTCTACAGTTGTACATGAAATCCACACCAATTATGGAAACAGGTCTAATCTCAGCTTCTGAACTTCCGTTTCATTGCAGGTTGGGTAAGGGGCTAGGAAGAGGGAGGTACAGAGTGCTGCTATGCCAATGAACGGCAGAACATTGGTGAGAAGTTTCGGCGCATAATACGCGAAGACTTCGCAGCTATTCGTTCAGAGTAGAGTGGATAAGCAAAATCATCAAGAATGTACACAGCAAATTTCTTGACCGTTCTAAAGTCGTCGTATTATAATATCAGCAAAAAAGTACAACACCGGCAGCTGAATAGAGCATTCGGATGATGCGTTTAAAAACTAACAAATCGTTTTACGCAAGGCAAGCACTAGGCAATGAGAGAGAGAATGCGCCATCTATAAGTCGGCAGATTAGGTTCTGTGGTGTGTGATATGAACGTAACCAACGGATATAATATAGAATTTTACGAATTTTAATGACGAAGGTTTTCAACCTGAAGACCAACTGAAAGATTAAATGTCAACTTAGTACCAAAGTACCGGGAAAATGAAACCTCAATGGGCAGGATGTCTAAGAATTCAGGACTGGGAAAGGGTCGCAATCGGAGAACGTACTGCATTGACTTCTGTTTATTCAGTAGAAGGCTGTTGCTTAGCGATCATGCTGACACGCAGTCCAGTCCATTTTTCAGTACTTGGAGATGTGTCTGACTTTAGATGGGATTGACTAACAGCCATATCATCAACTGATTTTACATGCAAACATTCATCCGGCGATCATTTGTCATCAGTGTGGAGGGAAAAAGATGAGAGGATAAGATAGACTCTTCCAGAAC